CGACTTGATCATTTATAGTGCAACGGTTTATTATTTGTTAGATATTTTAAATAAAAGGCAGGCATTGCTTAAAAGGGTCGTTAAAATAAAAATCCACACAGGATAGAAGAAATATTCCCCTTTATTACGTAAAACCACACAGGTGTGCAATACTGCAGAACTTATCTTAGATTAGGGTAAAAAAAGGGGGCTGCCGATCCACTTTGTCTGCTCTGCTGCCTGTCCTCCGGTCGTTTCCGTCTCTCGTCTGCCTCCCGACCTCTTCTGTCGCCAAGCTTCCCCCCGACCTTGCCTGCCTTGTGCCTGAGGCTGCTACCGCATTCCAGGCGAACAATCTCGGGTGGTTGTTAAGAGGGCAAAGTGATGGGAGAAGAGGTCGTTTGTCGGGTCATCACTGTGAGATCTGTCTAACTGCAATCTGTTTCGCTACATGTATATGTATATGTGTGTGTAAGGGTTATTATAAACACCTCTATACATTGATGACAGGGAAGTAATAAAAGCTTAGTGGCTAGAACTCTTTTATTGATAGAGCTAGCACACAGAGAATAACACACACAAGATGAAAAGGCTTGGGTTAAGGCGAGGGCGCCTAGGTCAGACGGCAAGCCCTAACAAACGGCAACCTGGCCGCGGGGTCAGGCGTGACCCACCTCGGCACAGAACACTCTCGTCACACTCTGCTTTCAGGGATAGTAAGTAAGTAGTAAGTTAAAAGAGAAAAGACCCGTTGCCGGGGGGAAGGAAGACGGGAGAGGGGAAGGATAAAGGAGGGGATCGAAAGGATGATTTAGTGAGAGAGAAAGAGTCGGGGCTTAACCCAACATGCGGGGTAAAAGTTGGGGGCATAGCTGACACGGAGGAGGAAAAGAGGATAAAGGCTGGGTCGGGAGGCCCCGCGCCATCTGTGTGTGCGTGGCCCGGGCATTATGGTGCTCGCTTGGCGTGAACGAATTCACGCGTCAGCGAGACCCCATGCCCGGGCTGCGGCGCGCACTCGGCTAACGGGGGAGGTTGGGAGCAGTAAGGGGCGGCCTGTCAGGCGCCATCGAGGCGCGGCCGTGCACGGACTTCTCGCCCATGGCAACGGTCGCGCCCTCGGCTAACCGGGAGACTGCGAGGATGAAAAACGAGTGAGATCGCTAATCAGAGGCTGTCTCCCACGCCCGCGTCGAACAGAGATTTCTCTCTGTCGGCGGCAGGACTTCCAGGGAGACGTGCTCTGGCGATCTCACCACGCTTGGGTTAGCAACACTGGCCATGGCATCTCCTCCCCCGCTCGCGCGTTGCCACTCCTTGCTTTCAGGGATCCTCTGCAGGCCTTAGATATCCGAGCGTTGGCTTGGGGAACGAGGGTAGGTAGCATTCCTCCAAGCCGCGGCTGGGCGGCGTGGGGAACGAGGCTAGGTAGCGTCCAAGCCGGCAGGTAGCTAGCGTGGGCGGCAACGCTGCTGGTACAAGCATCCACGTGGTCTGTATACAGTATATTGTATAGTGTGTATAGATGTATATATCTATATATATGTATATATTTATGTATATATAAATGTGTGTATATATATGTGTGTATATATGTATGTATATATATGTGTGTATATATATATATATATATATATATATATATATATATATGTATAAGTATATATATGTATATGTATATATATATATATATACATATGTATATATATATATTTATATATATATATATATATATATATATATATATATATATGTATAAGTATATATATGTATATGTATATATATATATATATGTGTATATATATATATATATATATATATATATATATATATATATATATATATATATATATTACACACACACATATGTATGTCTATAAGTTTGCCACCGGGGGTTTCCGAATCCTCGGAAGCGACTCGGGCTGCGTCGGCGTCGGGCGGTGCTTCGCGAACCCGAACACCCAAATGTTCGGGTGAGCCTTCTCGTCGGATAGTTTCTATAATATATATATATGAAGAGCTGCTCCGAGGGAAACCGGGCGTGTTAATTTCCCCAGGATAAGTTTAAGGTTGAACGGCCAACTATTAACATTTAAATTATTTATTAATTGTGTTTTGAGTCGATTTTATGTTCGTCACCCACCAGCGGTAAAAAAAAAAATAATCTATTCAACCTTTACATATGTGTAATTTACTACTAAATTCATTTTTGTATGAACAATTAAATAAACAACAAAAAACTAAAATATTTACACGTAAGAACACTTTTTTTTTTAAATAATCTTTAAAAAAAATTAGCGGGACGATATCCTTCTCTCCCGAGTCAGCTCTTCTGTAAGTATGATTTTTTTTCCCCTCATATTTATTACTCTTATCGTTACCTCTGTATTGCTGAATAGGCCATGTTACTGTGAAATGGAAAAGTTATACTTGTAGTTTTAAAAGCATCGGCAGAAAAATCAATTAATTGTGCGATTACTTCGATATTCTTCGGTAAAATTCGTAGCCACCAAGAGCGGAGGGAGGGAGAGAGACAGGGAAAGAGACAGGGAGAGGGAGAGAGGCAGGGAGATAGGGAGAGAGAGAGAGGCAGGGAGGGAGGGAGAGGGAGATAGACAGGGAGGGAGGGAGAGGGAGAGGGAAAGAGACAGGGAGAGGGAGAGAGGCAGGGAGGGAGGGAGAGGGAGAGAGGTAGGGAGAGGGATATAGACAGGGAGGGAGGGAGAGAGTGAGGCAGGGAGGGAGGGAGAGGGAGAGAGGTAGGAAGAGGGATAGAGACAGGGAGGGAGGGAGAGAGTGAGGCAGGGAGGGAGGGAGAGGGAGAGAGGCAGGGAGAGGGAGAGGGAAAGAGACAGGGAGAGGGAGAGAGGCAGGGAGAGAGAGAGAGGCAGGGAGGGAGGGAGAGGGAGAGAGGCAGGGAGAGGGATATAGACAGGGAGGGAGGGAGAGAGTGAGGCAGGGAGGGAGGGAGAGGGAGAGAGGCAGGGAGAGGGAGATAGACAGGGAGGGAGGGAGAGGGAGAGGGAAAGAGACAGGGAGAGGGAGAGAGACAGGGAGAGAGGGAGAGAGAGAGAGGCAGGCAGGGAGGGAGAGGGAGAGAGGCAGGGAGGGAGGGAGAGGGAGAGAGGCAGGGAGAGGGAGATAGACAGGGAGGGAGGGAGGGAGAGGGAGAGGGAAAGAGGCAGGGAGGGATGGAGAGGGAGAGGGAAAGAGACAGGGAGAGGGAGATAGACAGGGAGGGAGAGGGAGAGGGAAAGAGGCAGGGAGATAGACAGGGAGGGAGGGACAGAGAGGGAGAGGGAGAGGGAGAGAGGCAGGGAGATAGACAGGGAGGGAGGGACAGAGAGGGAGAGGGAGAGGGAGAGAGGCAGGGAGAGGGAAAGAGGCAGGGAGAGGGAGAGAGGCAGGGAGGGATGGAGAGGGAGAGAGACAGGGAGAGGGAAAGAGGCAGGGAGAGGGAGGGACGGAGAGGGAGAGGGAGAGAGGCAGGGAGAGGGAGAGGGAGAGAGGCCAGGAGGGAGGGAGAGGGAGAGTTTTGAGTTCTATTTTCACCTATTGTTATTTGATATGTTCTGCTTTCCAGGAAATTTTTAAATTATCTTAGCGGCTGCCTTTAATACCAGGTTTGGCTGCTTTTATTATGATAGCGTCGTGGTTGGCAGAGTCAAAAGCTTTTTCAAGATCTAAACAAGCTACCAGTGCGTATTTTTTTACATGTAATGACTTTTTTATTTTCGCTTTGACTATTTGAAGTGCGTCAGTGGTAGATTTATTGGGTCTGAAGCCTACTTGATCATCTAGTTTTTTTGTGTTTCAAGCCACCAAACCTATATGAAGTTATGTCTGCCGGGTTTTTTCCTGGTTTTACCATTGGGTTTATTAACACGTTCTTCAGTTCATTTGGGTATTCACCTTTTGACCATAATTTATTAATTTCTTTTAAAATTACTCCTAATATGTTATCAGGTGCCTTTTTATAAAATTTGTACGTTACTTTGTCTGGCCCATAAGCCTTTCCGTTCTTAGTTTTGTTGATTGTTCTTTTCAGTTCTTCCATGGTTATATTTTTGTTTGGATTTTTTGTATCAGGAAGGTTTAAGAGTTGGCTATTTCAGCTTTGGTGTTTATTATTTTTGGTTCTTCTCCTATGATCTTTTTATATTCTTTTTGAATAATTCTCATTTGTTATTAATATTTGATATTGGAAGGTCATTACTAATCAAGGGGTAATTTTGGTTTGATGTTTTGCCTGTTTGTTTCTTTGTGAAGTTCCAAACTTTTTGGGTTGGAGTCTGAAAATCTAAATTACTGCAAAATTTTCCCCAGGTCTTTCTCTTTTTTCTATTTCTATTATTTGCCTACTTTTTGCCATGAGTTTTTTATATTCTACTTCATTATCTTTGTTAGTTTTTTTTCTCCATCTATTATAAGCTTTATTTCTTTTCTTTATTATTTTGTGACAATTGTCATTCCACCAGGGCCTGTTAGGTTTATTTTCTATATTGTAGTTTTCATATTTGAAGCATCTTTCCCCCGTATCTTTCAGCATGTTGGCTAGTCTCGGCAGGGTTTTTACATCTTCTAACTTTAATTTATTTAGTTCTTTTTGATATTCCTTCCACCCTTCTTTAGTGAAGTGCCATTTTTTTCTTTGTTATAGTTTGAATTTTGGGTATTATTAGATTTTACTATTATTGGCAAATGGTCACTATTCAAATTTGGACCTGGAGCTATTTCGAAGTGACTTAAGTTTGGAGAGCCCATTATTAGGTCTATTGTGGATGTTTTTCCTGTTTTTGGATCTATTCTAGTTATTTGATTTGGTGGCGTTAATAAAATTTCTGCATTGTGCGTAAGACAATCAAAAAGATTTTTTCCCATTTTATTAGTGAGTTTAGGGTTCAAGTTTGTTTCCCAAAGTGGGTGGTGAGCATTAAAATCTCCCATAAGAAGCCTAGGTTCTTCTAACTGGTTTGTGTAGTGTTTTATATCTTCTTTTGAAATATTATTGCATGGGTTGT